GAAGTGAACTGAATGATCATTTAGATGACTCACTTCTGAATTTAAAGTGGTTGTCACATCATGGCAGGGTCAAAGTTCTATCTATGATTGAAGTATTTTATCTGCTGGTTATATCTGGTTCCATTTCTCTCAGGTTTTTTGAGTTGTTTGAGAAATATGGTGGCAATAAGTCTGGAAAACTCAAGCTGAAGAAACCAAAACAGCTCCAGGTGGGTCTGTTTTGAAGTACAAGTGATCTATGCGGTTAATTTATTTTTCTGACAAGTGCTACTTGTTCTGTAGATGCAAGAACCAACATAATATTTCAGTTTCATAACAGGCTTGCCTCCAGCCTAATGATTTACTTTGTACAAGGCCAGGAATTTCTGCCACAGGGTCAAAGGTCAAACAGGATTGAGCTGTCTTTTTTAAGACACATCACACATGTAGTGTTATGTCTGGAATGCTTCAGCCTTGAGACTCATCGGCGTGTCATGCATCTATTGGGTTTTGTGTGAAAATTGACCATGTGGACAGTTGGCTTAAGCTTTGACCTGTTTGGTCTTATCTGTGACAATGTGCAGTTGTGATTTGTACATAATTATAAAAACCTGAACACTTTATTTGATGTTTTACAGGAAGTGCTGGATATTGCTCGTCAGCTGTTGGCAGAACTGATCCTACATAATGATTGTGAGATTGAAGAGAAGAAATCCAAACTAGAACAACTGAAGACGGTTCTGGAGATGTAAGTAAACTGTTCAAAAGTTCAGTAGTACCAAAACCCTCCATTTCCAACACTGTGAGATTATGGAAAGCTACAGTACACACACCATCATCTCATCTCAATCATTTCTAAAACATGTTGGATTCCTTCTGTCAACTGAAAATTCTCACTTCTCTTTTCACATCTTCGGGCAAAGGTCTTGCTGAAAGTATAATCATTTCCAGACATATATTGTATTTTTGATTAGCTTCACTATTGATATTAGCAGGCCCTCATGGAATGTGCACAAATGCTTGCATATTTATACACATAGTTTTATCAGTTTAGCCAAAATGGAATAACTGGAATAGAATTCATTATTAGTTACTTTTAAAATTAAAATGTAAAATTAAAAAATAATATTATGTCGACATCGATAGCCTCATGGGCAGCGCACCAACATACAGCTCACCCACTTCACTTCCTGTCATCGCTACACTGTCCTATCATAATAAAGGCAAAAATTACAAACAAAAAAAAATAATATTTTAAAATAATAATAATATAAATAAATTATTAATAAAATTATTAAATTATTATTTAAAAACTTAGAAGTAATGAGTTTGACATACTTGAAATATATATATATATTTTTTATTCTCAGATGTAACATCACTGTTAATGGTTGCTAAATAAGCTAAACTCAATGCATTTAACTAACTAGATACTGTATAGATATTTCAGTTTTGCTCAGTACAGAAAAGTTTATAATTAATTGTTTATTTTATGGTCAAATAGTGAAAATGAGCATGTACAATAAAATGTCCAATATTGACCTCTACCGATAAATGTAAAAAAAAATCTTTAGTATCGGCTGGTTAAATACACGATACCGATATTTTGCATCTCCCTAGTTGTACCAGTGAAATTTAGGTTTTAAATTTAGAGTTTAGAGTCTTTAGAGTTTTAGGCAAAACCATAAAGAAAAATCAGTTTGTATAGTTTGCTGACCTTCTTGGGAATCAGGGCAATCCTAATCAGACTTGATTTTGTTGTTAACATGACACACATAGCCAAAATTTACTATCATATCTTCTAGTCTTAAGCATCATGGATGCGTTTTTCAGGAGAAACCTGATATTTCATGAACAGCTGAATGTATGTAACTGACTTTATTGTGACCTTGACTCATTTGCTTCCTTAGATGTCCTCATATGGATGAGTTTCTTAACTTCATTCCTTTTGTCTCTCTTCTCCTCTCTTTGTGTCCCTCTTTGTGTCTTGGCCATTCTCTCCAAAGGGAATCCAGCCTGAATGATAATCAGTGCGCACACTCATATCCCCTGTCTCTTTAGAAAGCAGGCAAAGTGGATCATAACCCTCATTAACCCAAGATCTTGTTCAAATTACTGACACTTTAATGAGGGCTCCAAAATTGACCGTACCTTGGAGATGAATCCCTTTTGCAATTCTGTGTGGCATCTGCATGCCATTTTGTTTCTAATCTCTCACGATCCCTCACTTCCTCCAGACCCCCTCACATAGCTTAAATGTGGCACCTAATCAACACATTATCGGTTGTTTGGGGTCATGGATTAACTAGGAAACAGGTGCTTGGGGAAGTACCTTGCTTTGGGTTGATTAAACATAATGCAGCAGAGCAAATTCCCTCCAGAGTCCGTTTCTGGCCAGTGAGATAAAGAACCACCTTTAGACCCGATTTAGACCAAGTT